CCCCAAATGGATCATATAGCACATAGTTTTTAGAGTGCTTTTGCTTTCTATTGGACACATTAAGAATATTTTCCCATGGGGGCGCCTGGGTGGCTCAGTCGTTAAGCGTCTGCCTTTGGCTCAGGTCATGATTCCAGGTCCTGGGATAGAGCCCCGCATCGGGCTCCCTGCTCCGCGGGAAGTCTGCTTCTCCCTCTCCCACTCCCCCTGCTTGTGTTCCCTCTCTCGCTGTCTCTCTGTCAAATAAATCAATAAAATCTAAAAAAAAAAAAAAAGGCAGATGTGCATCCGTCCTCCAATTTAAGATGTATTGAGGTATCCGAAGTTACAGTCTTGAAGATCCTGGTGGAGGATTTGGCATAGACAGGTGAGGACTCGACTTGGCTGACAGTAAAAGAGAAGCACAAGTGTGGGAATCAGGTTGGTTTGTTGTTGAAACAAACAATTGCAAAATCATCAGGCATAATCCTGAGTAGGTTTTGATATGGTTTGTGCTTGGGGAGGAGCCACACTCCACCGATGAGCCTGCATAATGTCCCTGATGCTGTTAGGACTTTTTCTACTGTGACCTGCCTCCCGTGCTCCCTAACAAATGTCTTTACCTCTCTGAGTCACTTGAAGGGGCTTGCGGGGAGACCAAGAAGCCATTCTACTGCGAGGGAGTCTTGGGCTCAAGGCACTTGTCAGGTCATCAGGAAATCTCTGTTTTTAGGTGAGTTATATGCCCCCTCCCCCATTTAAAAATCTGTACCAGTGATTCCTATCGCGGTGCTCACAAGATCGGGCCAGGACAGAAACGCCTCCTCTCCTCTTGACACCTATCTCCCCTTTTCTTTGACCCAGAAGTTCAGAGCCAGAAAGAACCTTGGCGATGAACGTTTTCAGTCCTCTCCTGGAACAGCCCAGGAGAATGAGGCGCAGGAAGACTTACTGTCCCAGCGTTGCCCAGTTAATGACCAGCACCCTAGAAGGGAAAGCCTTAGCTTTGGTTTCAGTCCTGTGCTCGGCAGGACCCTTCTCAGCAGGCCTTTCTGTCTTTAGTTTGGCAGAAAAGATCAGGAGGGCGACAGTTTATAAAGGCAGGGACTTTTGAATGAGACTGATTGTCCTCATAGGATACCAACTCCAGCCAAAGCTGCCCCCTGGAACCACCCGCCACTGCTCATTTTGCCTAAAAGAATATAGGAGGGGACACTACTACTGCTGATTTTATTTTTTGGAAAGTTTCCATCTAATTCCATGGACACAGTTATGCTGCCTCTTTTCAGTGAAAATTTTTGCTTTGTAGAATTCTCAGTCCTTCAGAAATATTAACCAAGTGGGTAGATTTCTAAACTGGACTCAGATTCAAGGACTGTTCTGCATGTACTTCTTTATCTCTTTTTGTTACATACTTACTATTACATAACTCAAGGGCTACTACTGCCCTTACACTTAATCAGGTGCATTTTCTTTTCTATTCGTGTGGCTTCCTGTTACAGGACTTTGAGGTTTCACGGGTAGCTTCCAGTTGCCTTTAAAGTCCTCCTTGGGTTAGTTGGCTGACGGCCACTGGACTCGTTTGGCTGCTAAGGAGACTTGTGGGAGGTCCATTCGAAAGTACCTACTTCTCCAAGGTACACCAAACAAACAAGCTTGATTTCTAGACATGAGGATGAAAGATCTGACCTCTAGAGTGAGAACTATCTGTTGTTTCTTCACAAAACTCAGTTTCTGTTCTTTCAGCCCTCTTCGGTTGACAGGTGTTTACAGTTGTTGCTTCATTTCTTCTCTCCTTCGCTCTCTTTTCGAGGAAATTTAAAAACCAAATCATCCTGGTAACCTTGCCCTTATAAAGCTTCTCAACTCTTTCCAGTAAGGAAACTGTTGAAAAGCTTCTCTGAAGGTAAACACTTTTAGATGAAAAGAACTAAAAATATTTTAAAGCTCCTTAAACTTTAATCTCAGCACAAGTTCTGTTGTTCCTGTGTTTATATTCATAACTTACGGAACATTCAAAGAGTAATTTGTCCTGTGGTTGTGTTTTCTTTTGTGGTTGGGGGAAGACAATGCATAAACCTTTTCAAGAGGTTAAATGAAAACAGCTGTCTTTTTCCTAAATTAAACCCAATACCTGGCTAGGCAGTTTTACCCTTGTCCCCTAACCCTAGAGTTATTTTAAAGGTATTTCCCTGTATGAACTAGCTCATAGAGAGTGCTACAAACTAGTAACCTGCAGAGATTGCTACGAGCTCACATTTACTATCTTCTCCCTCTCCCAGCCATCTGACCTCTAGTATCAAACCAAATGGTTATCGGTGGTAGATACTCCTCATCAACAGTCCCGTGATGAGGGGCGCCTGGGTGGCTCAGTCGTTAAGCAGCTGCCTTCAGCTCAGGTCATGATCCCAGGGTTCTGGGATCGAGCCCTGCATCCGGCTCCCTACTCAGCGGGAAGCCTGCTTCTCCCTCTCCCACTCCCCTTGCTTGTGTTCCTGCTCTCGCTGTCTCTGTCAAATAAATAAATAAAATCTTTAAAAAACAAAACAAAACAAAAAAAAACAGTCCCATGGTGAGCTGGCCAAAAGAGAAAAAAGCAGTGGAATCATTTTTTAGGGCCATCTCCCAGTTTTCTTTAGTCCAAATTTCCTTCATGTTCACTCCGGACTTCCACGAAGCAATGGGCTCTTGAAGCATTGTATTTTCTTAAGTGAGGAAAATACTGTGCTTCCTTATCCCCAAGAGAAGTGGAGGCTCTTCATTCATCACTTACTGAACTACTCTGGACAGGGTGCAAGGGGCACCACCCAAGCTGTCAGTGTGTCTCAGGATTGACAAATAGGGGGCGCCTGGATGGCTCAGTGGGTTGAACGTCTGCCTCTTGATTTCCCCTCCGGTCATGATCTCAGGATCCTGGGATCTGGTTCCACACTCAGTGCAGAGTCTGCTTGGGATTCTCTCTCCCTTTCCCTCTGCCTCTGCCCTACCCTCTCTCTTTCTCTCTCTCAAAAAAATGAATAAATCTTAAAAAAAAATTAACAACTAGGAGTGGAATATTGATCTGCCTCTCTAGGCTAACAGGAGGTCTGTTTTCAAAAGAGAGCTTTGTTTGTATGTGTTTTTTATTTGTGTGTTTTTGTTTTTGTTTGATTAATGTCCTTAAGCTTAGAGCAGTAGCTCTCATGCCTGGCTGGGCCTCAGAATCACCTGTAGAAATGCCCAGGCCCCCCACAGTTCCCCTGAATCAGAATCCACTTTAGGAATCCAGTGGGGAAGGGATATAAAAAGTATCTCAGCTCTTACAAGATTTTGTAATTTAATCATTAAAATCAATGATAAATGTTTAGAACTTCTTATACTTTATACCTGTAAAAATGTGTTAAAATATCTTCTACCTCTGATGCTGTATATCCTCTCAACATTGAGTAGATGGTAGGTTGAGGGTTTTAAAGGAATAAAGGTGTTTTTTTTTAAAAAAAGATTTTATTTATTTACTTGAGAGAGAGAGATTGGGGGCAGGTGCAGAGGGAGAGGGAGAGAGAGAATCCCAAGCAGACTCTTTGCTGAGCGTGGAGCCTGATGCTGGGCTCGATCCCACAACCCTGAGATCATGACCTGAGCCAAAACCGAGTTAGATGCTTAATGAATTGAGCCACCTAGGTGCCCTTAAAGGAATAAAGTTTTTAAAATATACAAATACACACCAGAAAAAAAAAAACATTTAGAC